AACAGCACTGAAGAAATGTGAAGGTCACAGTGTTTTAATAATATAACGAATCTCATAGTCTACTTCGTAGAAGTATTCCAGGTTAGTAAGTGCCCGCCATCTTTAAAAAGGTAGCGGTTTATCTCATACAGTTAATTTTTTATGGGTAGATTTTATATACTTGCATGAGTGTATTTTTTCCTGCTTTTATCTCAAAGACATTTAAAATAATCTCTTTCGTAACAATACATATCACCACTGCACTTCACGCAGCATGACCACACTCAAGATTTGCAACTTTTACACTGAATGGATACAACTGTTGTTTTTTCATGGCATAATAAGCATAATCGCAAGGTGCATGGAAAGAAACCATTTGCCATGATCCCATAACAATAAGTAAAAGTGAATGTTGCAGTGGTTTGCCCTCCCTAACCCCCCCTCCCCGTCTCCCAACACAGCCTCAGCTTTGCCATCTCATTGTCACTGATACACACATCGTGGTCGTCAACTGCATACTCTCTTGCACTGCATATTATCCTGCGTGAAAGATGATCAGAGGTATTCGGTCGCACTGCTTATTGTGTTGATTGGAGCATTATTAAAGATTATCTGTTGCACTGCATATTTTCCTGCGTGAAAGCTCTCTAAAGCTTGATGTTATATCACTGCGACGAAATTATTATAGTTCCGGTGAGACAAATAAACAAAATACGATAATAATGTACAATTTGTGTATAATATGGAACTATTTATTTATAGTCGGCCGGTTTGTTAAAATTGTGCGAGGCTCGACCCAATGAATTTTCTTAAATACAGACGCATATACACAGAAATAAATGAATATCTGTCTATATATCTGATAGATATACCTTTAACTATCATTTTACCCGGTTGATATGCATGTCTAGACTGATAAATATGCCTTTATCTCTTTATTTATGCATGTTAAGTATACGAATATTCTTTGGGTCGGGCCTCGCTCAATTTGAACAAACCGGCCGTTAATCATCGTGATTTTCACTGGAAGGAATTTGGCGATTTTTTGAAACCCTAAAACACCTGTAATTTGCTTCAGTGAACTTTGATATTTTGAATTAATACAGTAAACAAATGATATAAAAAAGAAGGCCAGAAAGGTATGGTTAAAAGAAAGAAAAGTAAGAAAGAAAGGTAATGTTAAACAGCAAAACTAAAACTTATTTCTCATTCTTAGAAGTATATAGATTATTTATTATTCGATGATTATTATCATTACAGTCAGTTTATATGACATATTTGAAACAAGGGTAAAGCCAGAAAAAGTCTTATGTATCTATAGGTATACATATAGGCTGCATGCTATACATAGAAGAATACACAGTTTGCAAAGAGATATCAAGATAGATCGAAAGTAGCATAGTAATTACTGGCATACAATATACAAAATGTACAACACAGGCTTTCCTTGGATTTCCTTGTTCCTGTAATCTGTCACGCCGATAGCCTTGTATGATGTTAAATCTTGCTTGACGCTTCTTCAATGTTTTTTTTTTTTTTTTTTTTTTTTTTGTCACTATTCGTAATTTATGGACCGCATACTTTGTCATGCGTATTGCGATTGTTTGTACTTCAACTTAAGGAGTAAATAGTTTTCATATTTCATAGGTACGATAAGTATAATGTATACATGTACATATGTACACATATATGTATATATGATTTATATGTGTGTGTACGCGTGTGTCTGGTCGTGTGCTCATTTTACGAAAAGATATCGTAGTCTCAAAATGTACAAGTATTTTTAAATACATGCTTGTAAACCCTCCTAATTACAGGCATGTTATTTTTTTACCAAGAAAAGCAGTTCGTTCACATCTCCCATTAAGTCCGGCGCCGTGCAAATCGAAAACTGATTTAGTGTGTGATTCATAAAAGGGGGGGGGGCGATATATCCACAACGATTTTTTTAACTATTATTATCATTATCAATATGATTATGTTATTATGTTATTATTTTCTTTTTATTGTTATCATTATTGCTATCATTGTTATTATCATTACCATCCTCATGGTTGTTAATGTTATATTTCATTATCATCATCATCATCATCTCATCATTATTATTTTTTATCATTATATTATTTTTTTATCATTATTATTTTATTATTATTATTATTATTATTATTATTATTATTATCATTGTTATAAGTATTACAATCATCATTGCTTTTAATATTTTCTTTTTATCATTGTTATTATTACTATCTTTGTTATAATCATTATCATCATCATTGTCGTTAATGTTATTATTCATTTTTATTATTATTATTATTATTATTATGATATCATTATTTTTATCTATTATTTTTTTGTGTGTATGAGTGTGTTTGTGTGTGTGTTTGTGTGTGTATATATATATATATATATACATATATATATATATATATATATATATATATATATATATATATATATATATAATATATATATATATATATATATATATATATATATATTATATATATATATATATATATATAGTCATGTCATGTCATATTGACCTGTATAATGATATGTTGTCCAGTCTATTTTAAGAGCATAAGATAAACGACAAAATCTGCATGTTCCTTTTATTGTTAGATTTTTATTTATTTATTCCTTTTTATGTCTTTATTTTGTTGTATTTCTTTTGTATTTCGACTTGTTTCTGATATATATATGTTTCATGTGTGTATCTATTTTTGCGCAATTATATATAGTTTAGCATCTCCTTATCGCAATGTATGGAAGTTTATAGCTTTATATTAGATTCAGTTCTGCTTATCCTCGTCCTATCCCCATGTACGCAATTTAAATCCTATCTATCCTATGCACAGTGCACATTCCCCATCCTATCAATCCTATGTACGTATTTAACTTCCTATCCAAGAAAAGTATGTATGTAATATCAATCTTGTTATCCTATGTACGTATTTCCATCCTATCCAAGAACCGTATGTACGTAATTTCAATATGTACGTATTTCCATCCTATCAATCCTATGTACGTATTTCCCATCCTATCCAAGAACCGTATGTACGTAATTTCAATAGTGTTTATCCTGTGTACGTATTTCCCATCGTACCTATCCTATGCACGTATTTCCACCCTGTCAATCCTTTACACAGCTCTCCCATCCTCTCTATTCTACGTACATACATGCCATCCTCTTTATCCTATGTACGTGTTTCCCATCCTATCTCTCCTTGGCGATCCACCAGGAACTCCCAGTGTAAAATTTTCCATCCCATTTATCCCATGCAGAAAGTCACTGTCCTGTCAATCCTACATACGTTTTTTTTTTATTTTTTTTTATAGATCCTACATGCATCCCCCCCCCCCCATCCTTACTATCCTTGTCGGTCCACCAAGAACCCTCCTATTGTACGTAATTTCCCTACTTCCGTATCAGATCCTCCTACGCACACAGGGGTTCCGGCGAGCACAGAGTCCTTCACACTTTTGCGTTCCTCTGAAATTTTCATTCCTTGACGCTCCATTACCTTGTCCCATTTTCTTTCGTGCATGTCAAGTCGAGGGGGGACTATGATTTTTGTGTGCGAGTACGGGATCTTCGTGTTTTTGTTGTTATTGTTTTTCTTTTCTTAGATGTGTATGTGTATAAATTTATGTTCTTTGTATGTGTTATTATTATCATTATTGTTATTATAATCATCGTTATCGTCATCGCCATCATCATCATCATCATCATCATCGTCACTATCAACATCAACAGCATCCCCATCATCATCATCATCATCACCATCACCATCACCATCATCATCATCGTCATTATCAACATCAACAGCATCACCACCACCATCATCATCATCATTATCAACAGCAACATCAACAACACCATCGCCATCACCATCATTCTTTTTTCTTTATGTGCGCGTGTATTTGTGTTATTCATAGTATTTTTGTATCTAATGTTGAAATTATTGTTATTGGCCTTGATATTGTCTTGAAGATTTTTAAAGGGATTTTTCAGTAATTTTCCCCGTTTTATTCAGTCTTAACACTCCATTCAGCAGCACTACATACGAGTATTACCACTACCGCTGAATTTCATATACTATTTTCAGCTTCACTTCTTTTCAAGTGTATAAACATTAACTAATGGTACTGAACCCATTTACGCATTCCTCTCTAACGTATGTACGTATTTTGCATCCTATCTATTGTATGTACGAATTTCCATTCTATCTATCGTGTACGTATTTTCTATCCTGTCTTTTGATGTATGTATTCTCCTTCCTATCTATCGTATGTACGCATTTCCCATCCTACATAACGTATGTATGTATTTTGCATCCTGTCTATCCTACATACAACGCAGAGTGGCATTCTCCAAGATTAAGATTTCCGGAAATGTCAAATTGAAATTATCATAATCATGCAAAGAGTGAAACATCACGTGTCTTTTTCTCTTTTCTTTTTTTTTCTCCTTTTTTGACATCACAGATTGCCATAATCAGCGTATTTGATACAATCAAGCAGAGACAGAATAATCGTATATAATCACAGATGCAAGGACTCGCTGTCTGTCAGAGCGGCAAAAATACGTGGTCTTTTGTTTGACTTCATCCTCTGCTTACGTCTGGTTTCCCTCTCGGGATGACTTCCCCGAACGTCACGGCATCTCTCTGCTTCCTTGTCTGCGTTCTGGTCTCTGCTACCTCCGCCATCCCTGCTTCATCGTCTCTGCTTCCTCTACTTCCTCGAATCTACTTCCTCCGTTATTCCTGCTCCATCGTCAATTTTCCCTTGTCCTTACTTCTACTTCCTTTGTCTTCCCTGCCTCCCTTACGCTCCTTCCTCTGCTGCATCCGTTATCCCTGCTTCCTCGCCTCTGCTCCCTCGCCTCCGCTTCCTCGCCTCCGCTGCCTCTTACCCTCCTTCCTCTGCCACTTCCGTTATCCCTCCTCGTTGCAGCCCGCGAGCGACCTTGGCCACCGGCGCGGGCTGAGGTATTGGCCAAGGCGTCCGAGCGTGCGTGTGTCATTCTCCTGGGGGATGTCGAGGTGCACTGATGGTGGCGCTGAAGGTAGTCTTGGTGGTGTTTGAGTGCTTGTGAAAATCTTGATGGGGGTTATGTGTTCGTGTTTCTGTTGACTTGTGTTGGGTTAAGAGAGTGTTTTTTTCTTTTCATTTATTATTATTATTATTTTGTCTTAGTAGGTCTTGTGGTTTATACAGATTGTAGCTTGTGTGTTATTTTTATGTTGCATTACTGATATTGGTTCGTGTGTATTTGAAGCGTTGGAAGGAACAGATATAAAGCAATACGCAAAACTAAAATCAAAATGCAAATGGCTTATGATCACTTTGATACATATAATTCCGGAAATTATACGAATATCAGAAGAAAACAGACAATATATATTATTTTCTTATTTCTTTGAACACGCAATTAGAATTAGTGAATGATTCCATGCGTATTTACTTCATTCTTCAAACGGATTCACACCTGATTTTCATTTTCAGTTTTTACTCGTGTTGGCGTGCGTGGCGGTGGCGGCGGTCCGAGCCGATTCCAAGCCCCACGCCAAACCCGTCCCGAAACCGCACCCAATCCCGGAAGCGAAGCCTAAACCCGACCCGAAGCCTAAACCCAACGCGAAGCCCGACCCGAAGCCGAACCCGAAGCCCAAAGTCGATCCGAAAGCTAAAGCCGACCCGGATTCGAGGCCTCAGGTCGGGGTCCTGAGGCCTCTGACGCACCGAATCACTGTCAGTCCGAGGCCGCAGCTGCGAGGCTTCGGAGAGGTCGGCATCATCTCGCCACACGCAGGTAAGGGCTTGTGTGACCTCTCGCGCCGTCTCTTACTCTTTATTTATTTGTATATTTCTGTCTCTTTCCATGTGGCTCTTGCTTTTTCTCTATCTCGTTCTCTTTCTCTTTCATTTACTCGCTCGCTCTTTCTCTTTTTCTTTCTCGCGCTCTCTATTTCTGTTTTTTCTCTCTCTCTCTCTCTCTCTCTCTCTCTCTCTCTCTCTCTCTCTCTCTCTCTCTCTCTCTCTCTCTCTCTCTCTCTCTCTCTCTCTCTCTCTCTCTCTCTCTCTCTCTCTCTCTCTCTCTCTCTCTCTCTCTCTCTCTCTCTCTCTCTCTCTCTCTCTCTCTCTCTCTCTCTCTCTCTCTCTCTCATTCTCTCCGCAGAGGAAAAAAAAACACATACATACTTTCCATACATTTTGTACTAATACACGCCATACCCATTGCTTCTCTTCATCATCGTATTTACAGTATATAAGAAAAAACACCATCAACTAAAAAGATAATAAATGTATAAATAAAGAAGTAAATTATAAAAATAAATTAGATAACCAAATAAATGTATAAATAAATAGATAAATAAATCAGTAAATAAAGATAATAATTTTCATTAATACAACATTCTCACCGCCTTTCTCGACTCCCTTTTCAACGACCCCCTCCCCCCCCCCCCCGTGTCCAGATATCTCCAACGGGATCGAGGAACCCACGACACAGAGTCCTTTCAGGGAAGATATCGAGAAGAAAGGACCTTTTCCCCACAGACTCCGCCCCGTCCCTGTTGTCGACGGCCATCCCACGGGGAAATGTGAGACCTAGGATCCTTTGGTCGAGTTTTGTGGTGTTGAAGAGGGTTTTCATGGGGTATTTTGGTTGATTTTTGTGGGTTTCGTGTTTTGTAGATTGGAGATGATTTTCGTGGGATATTTTGGCTGTTTTATGTTATGTAAGTTGGTGATTTTGATGGGATGTTTTGATAATGATGGTGATGGTACAGATAGGGATAATTGTTCATGATAATAATGTTAATGGTGATGGTAAAGATTGTGATGATTGTTAATGATGATGATAATAAGAATGAGGATGATGATGGTGATGGTGATGATAGTAATAATTGTTGATGATGGTGATGATGGTAATAATTGTTAATGATGATAGTGATAATGAGAAGGGCGATGCTGATGGTAATGATAGTGATATGTTTTAATGAAGATAAAAATAATGACAAGCACCGCTACCAATAAAGCCCTCCCTTAGTGCCACCTCTCCCCTCCCTCCACAGCCGCGGATGCCCAGAACACCGGCTTCGAGGTCCCCGTCGGCACTGGCATCTTCGTGAACTCCGGGAGGCCCTTCGACTCCGCCCCCGCCCAGCCCTCCTTCCCGGACTCCACGCCCACCATTTTCCATCGCCCCAACTTCCCCTCGCAGCCTGGGTCGCCGCCCGTTCAGAATTTCCCTGACAGACCTATTAACTTCCCCGGATCGAGTCCCGGTTCTAACTTCCCCGACAGGCCTATCAATTTCCCTGGGTCGACGAGTCCGTTTTTCCCCGATCCTTCTAATCCTACGAATCCTGGTGGCAATTTCCCGAATTTCCCTAATCCCACCACGCCCCGGCCTAATTTCCCTAATCCGACTACACCGAATCCTAATTTCCCTAATCCCACGACTCCTTTCCCGCGTCCCCCTAGCCCGCCGACGACCAATCCTTTCGTCCC